TCCCACCAGCTAATGCTTTGAAGATGAGAACAGCATACATCGCCAAGTGCTGCTGCTCTTGCTGTTAGACCTGTGCTCTGCCCAGGCTGCAGTAATGCACAGGTCAGGAGTCCACAGTGAGAGTCATTTATGTCATTGGTGTCTGTGTGACATCCTTCTCCTAGGATCCCTTTGGGATCCACTGTTGGCTGCCTGGAGGGACCCATATCTACCTTGTAGTCACCAGGAAGCTGATGGGCATGGGCTGGAGGGTCCCTTCCCATGCCTATGGCCCATAGAAGGCCTGATCCAGGGTAAAGCTACTGAATTTTTTGAAAGAAGGCTTTAGAGAACACCTATGAGCATCCAGAGAGTCCCAGAGTAAACCAGTTCCCCTAAAGCATCCCTGGAACGCATGGGCCAGTGAGTCAAATTTATTTCTGGTATTTGCTCTTGTTCAGCAAGTTGCTGCTTTCAGGGAACAGAGGGGTAGAAAAATAAAGCTTGGGACACATCACAACTCCCTGTTCCTGAAGTTGCTTTTCATCATCATTGTGTGGTTTTTACAGATGGCAAACCCTCCTGCAGTGGCATGAGCCACAGCACACTAACTCTACTGCTGGCATGTCTAGCTGGGGATGACGGGGGCATGGAGGCTACCAGATCTGTCTCCCTAAGAAATATCTATCATCTGGATCATTTTTTAGATAAAAAGAAAATGTTTGCTTCTGAGGTTTGAAAGCACCTGCTGCCACTGCCAAACACGAGCTGCTTGCCTCTTCCCATCAGATGGACATCTGGGATGGCCTGAGTCCGTGGCACAGGCAGGATCCTGTAAGATGTGCCAAATGAGGGTTTGCTGCTCAGATCTGGTCTGAGAGAGTGTTTGTCTTTATCCTCATGTGGGAAATGCGTCCTTTAATGCAGACATTGACAATGCAATGACCACATCAATAATTCTCCAGATGACCTGCGCGAACCCAAGAGGGTCACAACATCACGCATTGCCTTTCTGTAAATCAACACTGCCACTTTTGCCCAGTGCAGCACCTTTCATGCACAGCATCAGGGCCCATTTTCACTACCAGAGCTGATTTTCAGTGTTAGCTTTTACCTGCAGTATCTGTATGTACTGACTGTAAATGTCCACAGATTGAAGTCGAGACATTGCTGGAATAAAGTCCTCACCATCCCCCATGCAGAGTGGCAGCACCAGAACTGTGTCCTCTCCCCACTGCACCCTGTGGCCACTTCGCAATGTCACTGTGTACTCAGTTTGACCCCAAAATACAGTTTTTGCCTTTGACACTGTGCTGTGGTGAATCCCTCCTGGTTCCAACTAGCAATGGGCAATGGCAGAACCACCCTCCATTGTTCCTGTGTGCCTTAAGATAAAATTAATTCTTTGGCATTAAAAGCCCAGCCTTGAAAGGATTCAAGGCTAGGGAGGAGGCTTATGTCCTGGAGCTCCAGGAGGGTGCATAAGAGCCTGCTTTGATGTCTGTGCAACACACATGCACACGTTCACACCAGCCAGTTTCGAGTACTGCCGGCTGTGACGGACATGCTGCAGGCAAGGGCCCTGCAGGATCCACCACACTGGTGTAGGGAGGGGAATGTTCTCCTTTCACAGCTAAATATGCCACTTTTAACCCTTCTGCTGCCAATTTCCAGATCTGCAAACACGGAGCCACAATCAGTTACAGATTTACCGGCTTTGGACAAAAACAAATCCAATGCCTCCACCAGTTCCTTTGCAAATCCCTGCACCTTCTCAGCCGTCTGAATGGGTTTATCCCTGCTTCATTAGCCCCTGCATATCAATTGCCTGTGGAGGACTGAAGGCAGAGTTTAAGCACCTGTGGTACCTGCAAAGTAAAGGCTGAAGTAAAGGCAGGATGCTGCTGCCCCTCAACACCCCAGTGTGGCAGCACCTGTGGGAGAAGCCCTCAAAAAAGCCCCCTTGACCTGCTGTGTGCAGACCATTGCTGCTGCACCTGGCCAGTAGGAGCTGAGCAGCTCATCCACAAGCAGATCTATTTTGGTCTCTGGGGAAAGGGTCCATGCTCTGGAGCAGTAGCTCTGTCTGTGCCACCATTTCTAAAATGTCAGTTCCTGCAGCTGGTCCAGCTTGGCTAACCCTGGCTCTGCCTATGTGTTTCTGTGCCACGAGCTTCACTCTTGGGTTTTTTGTTGTTTTTTTTCTCAGTCCTACAATTTTTTAGCTTTGATACAGGCTGTGCTACAGTGCCAATGGTGGCAGCTCCTGCCACACCATGTTAAAATCTCCAAAGGTTTTAACACGCCATGAGCTTGGCTGAACCCACGGCTCTTGCTGCATTATAGTCTGACACAGGGCTTTCATTCAGCAGGCAACCACCTACTGCAGCCCACTGGCAGCTCCCTAGCTGCTCATGAGGTCTGACAGTGTTTGTGGGTTATCATGACAGATCATGACAGCTTTTAAAAGAGAAAGGAGAAATCGATCCCTGTGTCTGCCTTCCCTAGCACTCAGTTTTCCCTTCATCCCCTATTGCAGACCAAACCCAACTGCAGTTCAGAGTTGCTGAGTGATCCTCATTAAAAGGATGAAGGTATTTTCAGTGACATGGATCTGCCTGGCTTAACCCACTCTGCAGGGCAGGACGTGGGTGACAGGAGACTGCAGCTGTTCAGGGACACGCTGAGCTCAGTGATGCTGCTGGGAGATGCCTTACCCCAAGCAGTTCCACTGCTGCAGACCCGGTCCCCTCTGGAGTCTCCTGACGTGTGGAGGGTGGTGTCACCTGCAGTGATGTTGTTGAAAGATGTTCACTTGTTGAAAGCACGGGGCACTTAAACTGCAGAAGATACACACCAAAGATGATTTTGCAGCTCAAAGCACTCTTACAGATGAAACAATGTCTCCTGATTCTCAAAAAGTAGCTATCACTGCTTGTAAGAGAAGGTGAGACCACTGTCCTGTAGGGGTGGCTTGTGAGGAGACCTCAGCCCCAGTGTCCTTGTACCTGGATTTTAATTTTTGCATGTGCTGTGGCTCACCACCTCTCTCAAGCACCTTCTGTCCCCAGAGGCTGCAAGAACCCTTCACATATGACAGCTTTTAGCCTGTGGGTTTTCACTATCCCTTCCTCCTGCTGACCCTGCGTAACACCCACCCAGGGGAGCCACGGCAGGAAATAGAGATGGTGTGGCCAGGGACAGACCATCACATTCCTGATGTGGAGCTCCTACCATCAGCAGACACTGTCCCTGCAGCTCTCCTGCCTGCAGGGCTCTCACTCTGCCCTGGTGGTGCTGCACCTGCACGTGCAGCCTTTCCCGCACTTCCAGTGCTTGTTTTCATGGGGTTTTTTTGATTTTTTTGAGGGTGAATCCATAGCACTGTCACTTGCGAGTGCCAGATGTTGCCGAATGCCCCGTGGCAGGCGGTAGCACAGACAGGGAACGGCTGGCAGCATGACCTGGATTAGGACAGCTTATCCCCCTGGCCCCGCAGCAGGCCCCTCGCTGTGTCTCTTCTCTGCAGCCCCCAGCCCCAAGCCCAGGCCAGGCAATGCCGCTGGCTGCCTGTCCTGACAGCCACCTGCCCCCTCCTGTGGGATTGGAGCTGCTCCCAGACACCCAGGGATACCCCATGCACGGTGTCCCCAAGCAATGTTGTCTTGGCAGAAAGAAAATCCATATATTGAGGTACGTACACCACAGCACAGGGCAGATAGGTACTGATCCTAATACAAAACGTCCTATATTTATGAAATGAGCTTATATTTATGAAATTAGTGCATTCCTGGCTGGGGATGTACCCCTTCAACCTGGGCTTGGATGCAAAAACCCTGTGTTTTTAATGTTCAGCATGTAACAGTTTTACTAACAAGTGCCAGTGCATGCACTATGTTATACAACACATATATTTTCATATCTAATACTGTCTTACATATATTTATATAGCTTTCAATCATACATATTTATCTACGCAATGTGAAAATAAATAGAATTGAATATAAAACCATACATAAAGCGTAGATACAAAAAATGATATACATAAAACATTACACCAGTATAAAATGTACACATACAAAGCATACACTTAAAAAATTCTATTGATAATATTTTATATATATAGTTTTCTCCATATAGAACAACATGTAACATTATTTCATGTATTCTGTCTGTTTTCCCAAGGTTCTAAATTGATGGCTTTTAAAAGAGACAGGAGAAATCAATCCCTGTGTCTGCCTTCCCTAGCACTCAGTTCTCTCTTCGTCTGGTCCTGCAGGCCAAACCCAACTGCGCTTCAGAGTTGCCAAGTGATCCTCTTTAAAAGGATGACGGTATTTTCAGTGACACGGATCTGCCTGGCTTAACCCACTCTGCAGGGCAGGATTCAATTCTATGTTTCTATAATGGTAATTTTGCAATGCATATATTATTATTACCCTATTATAATATTATATTATGTCCTATTGTATTATATAAAATTGCAGTACACAAATATCTAAAACATATTTACAAGCCTACAAACCGTGCCTGTATAAATATTTCTATTGTTTGTGTCAATAAATCGAACATGGGAGCTATATATGGCATCAAAACGTGCACAAAACATTATTTTTATGCATGTTGGTGTTCTACATTCAATGTTTTATGTACGCAAGGCAGACACACACGAGAGCTGTCACGCACAGGGCACAAATTCGGCACATGCCCCTAATTTGGGGGGAGGGGGCGCTGGGCCGCCAGCCAGGCCACGCCCCCAGTGGACAGACCACGCCCCTTGTGAGCGGCTCACGTGGCTTGTCTCTAGGCCCCGCCCCTACTGTCTGGCCCCGCCCCCTCCTGCCGCGCGCAGCGGGCAGTGGGCGGGGCCAGCGCCGATAAACACGGCCACGTGCAGGGAGGCGGGGTCGGCCCGCGCTTCCGGCAACACGCGCCCGCCGCCGCCGCATAAATAGCGCGGAGCGGCGCCCGCAGCCCCGCCGGTCGCTCCCGCCTCGCCGCGTCCGGCACCGATTCCGCCACCGCTCCCGCCGCCTCCCCCCTCCCCCGTGTTGCTCCAGCTCCGCGCCGCCGCCATGCCGTTCCTCGGGCAGGACTGGCGCTCCCCCGGGCAGAGCTGGGTGAAGACGGCCGACGGCTGGACGCGCTTCCTCGACGAGAAGAGCGGCGGCTTCGTGGGCGACCTCAGCAGGTACCGGCGGCTCGGCCCGGCCCCGCTCCCCGGCGGTGCCGCCAGGGGGCGCCTGCGGTGCCGGGGGGGGTTGTGGGTGGCGAGCGGGGCCCGGGACGGGCGCGGGGGTCGCCCCGGGGCGGTGTCGTCAGGATGGGGGGCGGTGTGTGGGCAGCCCCGGGCCTGAGGGGATCGACCACCCCCCCTCAGACCTGCAGTGAACCCCGAAGGGGTCTCCCATGGCCCCCGGTCGCGGAGAGTGGCTGCCCCTGCCCAGTGGTTGCGGGATGGGGCGGAGAAGCGAGGAGAAGGTGAAACGCTCGCTGCCCCGCGGCCTGGGCGCTCCGTCTCCGGGGAGCATCTCCTGGGGGCCACGGAGGTGTCTGCCCACCGCCCTCCCAAAACAACCTTCCCCGAGCATCCCGACTCCCCGGCTGAGGAAGGATGATTTATCTGAAGCCATAAATCTTCCCCAGGCCGTGACTAATGTACCTTCCGTGCGGCTTGACTAATCCGGCTGCACAACATCAACAACCCCCCCAGATGGTGCGGGCAGGAAGCTTTTGCAGCGCGTGGGTGTCGTGGGCTCCGGCCAGATCGCTCCTGTCAAAACCCAAACTTTTCTCACAGAACTGCATCTATCTACTCCTTTGCTGTGTGTCAGAAATGCTCATGACAAAGGAGCTTGGAGCGGGCAGGGATTTGCTGTGAACCACTGCTGACATGTTGTTGTGCAAGGTGGCTTATGTAGCAGGTATCTCCTGCTTTCTTTCGTGCAAGCTGCAAATAAAAATCAAGCATAGGCTTGTAAATATGTAGAATAGGTTTATAACTTGTAAATAGGTTGATTTGTAAATAGGTAGAAAAGCATCTGGCTGCTGGTAGTGTGATTGTTTTGGGAATACTGAGTTTGGCATGTGTTTATACATCCCTTTTCCCATTTAGAAGTGAGGAGGTGACATATTGGCCCTGGGCGGAGGTCCTTGCAGTGCCAGGTCCTGATGCCCAACTGTTCACCCTGTCAAGATGCCCTGGAGAAGTGTGTGGAAACCTGGCAGTACATAAACAGGGGAATAATCTGCCTCCTATGGTGGAGTTCGTTTACTGCTGCTGTTGTGGTGGTTTCGTATTATAGAGTCATTCAGTAGGAAGTCAACAGGCCAGGGTGTGCTGTTGACATGTGAGATTTAAAGCAGATCCCTCTTGTACTCTTGGGCTCAGATTCTGCCCCTACATGGGGCATGTTAACCTGACCCCTGTTGATTTTGTGCAACCATGATAAAATATGAGCTTGAATGTCTCAAAACAGCTTCTTCCTTACTACCGTATTCTGTTCTCAGGTTTTGGTCCCTCCAGCAGAAGGCAGGACATGAGCAGCTGAGATGTTCTGCTCTTAGGTTTAGGTGGTTCTGAGCTGGCTATATCTGGTAGAAGTGTCTGGTTCCCCAAATTTCTATTTCTGTGAGTATTGTCCATCTGCAATGCTGCTGCTGTTCCCCTTCTGCAGTGTTGTGGGGGAGCCCACAGGAGTGGAGCTTTTTCCACAGCTGTGCTGCCCTGTGAGGAGGATGTGGAGGAGGAAGGGGGAACTAAGGCTCATAGTTTTCTGAGGATGGAGGAGCTTTCCTCCACCTCTGGGGCCGTGTGCAGGTGCCAAACCAGAACATTCACCTGGAGCACACCAGAAGGGATCTGGGTCCCTCATGGGGCCGAAACTCTGACTTGGCCACTTAAGTTTTGCATATGCTGGTGGTGTGGCCAGCCAGCAAACAGAGGAAACGAGGAGGTCCCACAGGTTTCATTCCTTTGCGGGAGCCTGCGCTGAATAGCTGTGAGAGGTGTGTTTGGTATGGTGCTTGGGTTATTTTTTTTTGGAGGCTAAACAGTGTAAACACTTGGTCTATAGAGGAAGCTTCCTGGCTGTGTAAGGGTCCTCATGGCTGTCACAGGGGAAGCTTCCCCAGCACAGCAAGCAGCAGCGTGTTTTGGCACCTGTCAGAGCCCCAGGGATGCCTGAGCCACAGCAGCTGAGAGGTGCAAGGATGTGCCTGGAACCCTTCTTTGAGATTAGGCCTCCAAGACAGCCGTACTTCATCCCTTGTGAGCAGTGCACAGTGTGGGCAGCTCTGTTTCGCTCTCCTGGATGCATTGCTTGTCTTCTCCCTGGCACCTGTGAGGCATCCCTGCAGCTCTGGGCAGCAGGTTGTGTGCTGGGGCAGCTGCTGAGAGCCCCCGCTGGGTGCTGCCCTGCCCTGCCACCCCCAGGGAACTTTGCAGCAGCTCTGTGGCTGCCCAGGGGCTTCTCGGTTTCGCGTTGTGGCTTGGATCTGCTGATTTGCAGGTCTGCAGAATGTGGAGATGTTGATGCACAGCCTCTGTATAGATAGTCTGTCATTGCCCTTGAAGGAAATGAGGGGTTATAGTTCCCTTCACTAATAATATAGTTACATCAGAGCTCCAGCAAAAGCAGATGATGGGCAGTCTTGGACAAGAGATCCTAGCTGTTAACTTGTATAGTCAGTACTATGTGGGGTTTGGAAAACCATTAGCTAAGTCTGAACCTCAGCTGAGCTTTTCCTGTAAGCTTGAAATAATATTTTGTAGGGACTCTTTTGTTAATAAATATTTTGAGTGCATATATATGTCCTCAGGCATTTCTAAATATGTCCTTCTGTAGCAGTCTGACTGGCTCAGAGGAATCTGCTACCTACAGTAGGCGGACATGGTGTTACTTAAGGATAGAAATATGGTTAAGGGAGGAGAAGAATACTGCCCAACAGTGTCCCAGCACTAACTGTGCAATCTGTGTTGCCTGTTCCTGTGTGTTATGGGTATCTTGGCTAGCCCAGAAATGAGGCACCATAGGTTCATTTAAAAATACCATTACTGGATGCAAAAAACTGTGTGCAGACTTCTCAGGGGCAGCTTGCAAGGAGGCAGCTTTGGAGCTCACAATGAAAACCTGTGTATTTTCTCTCCTTGCAGGAAACATAGTGTTCAGCAGACTGCAGAAATAAACAGAATCCTTGCTTTGTGTCTTTCACAGCTTTTGTAAAAAGGATGATCACAACAAAGAGAATCTCTTCAACAGCCTGAACTATGATGTTGCTGCCAAGAAGAGAAAAAAAGACCTGCTAAATAACAAAGCCAAGACACAATGTAAGATGTATTTTTTGGGCCTTTTTTTCTTTAAACAAAAGTTGCTGCAGAAGAATGGAAAATGGTTCATATCTATGGCTTTTGCACAATGAAGAGTCTTCTAGAGTCTTGAAGGGCTTTGCGCCCATGTTTGACCTAAGCAGACAACTTGGATACAGTTTAATATGAAGATTTATGCCCCCGTTAGTAATCTCTGTTCTGAGGAGCTGTGCTTGTTGTGTTCAAATTTTTGTCATTTGTGTTTGTCAGAAGGAGGGTAATTTTTTCCTATGGTACATTCAAATGAACCAGTTCCAGGGTTTTTTTTTTCCCCCTGTAGACTTCCTTGTGCACAAGAGGCTAAATTTATTCTTCCTTCCATATGCATTTTGAGCACTAATCTACATTACTGGAGGCTACAGTCCTGAATGTAAGCTTTGATCCTATCTCTGTGTGCGGAGTGCATGAAAAATGAAATAAGATTTCAGCTCACTCGAAACAATAGAAGGCTTGAAATCTTTCTGTAGGCACAGCGAGCGGCCTTGATCTCAGATGGTGCGCTGTGGGAGGACCCAGGGGAGCCTGCAGGGACAGCAAGGTCTGTGTTGGGCTGATTTGCAAGCTAGGTACTGGAGTTACATGTGAAGGCTACAAATGTAAACATACACAGAGGAAATGAGTTACAATTCCCACACTACTATTAGCTCATTGTGCATCCCCCAGGATTTTGGAAACTGATGCCAAAAGTTGGCCCCTCAGTGTATTCGGTTCTCTGAACAAACAAATGTTACCATGACAGTTTTTGGCCAGATTCTTCTGTGACTTGCCATTAAAAAGGGCTCGATGCAGGGTCAGTGTGCCTGTAACTGAGACTGGGTCTGTCCTCAGGTTCACAGTACCAGGCAGTAACCTCAGTTCATCAGTTCACAGGTTGTTCCAGGAGCACAGTATTTTTTTTATGGGGAGGAGTCGAGCAGGATGGGGAGAACTTTTTTTTTTTTTACACTGGCTCTTGAATTGCCAGTGTGTGGAGGAAGTAGGGTCAAAAGCCCGTGTGAGAATGGAGTGGGAGAACGACTGAGCAGCGAAACTGCTTAGAGTTCAGGCTCTTCTGCAAACCGGGTTAGCAGCATGTGGCGGGTACAGGGAAGTTATTTTGGGGAGTGGATGGGACAACTCCCATTCTGAGGGAAGGGAGGGGCAATTAGAAATAGGAAAATTTTGGTCCCAAATAGTTTTTTCTTTTTTAGCAAGTTAGCTGCAAGCACAAGCATGTTGCTCTGAGCCTGATCTCACTGCTAAAAGCTCTCTCCTACATGCCTGGTGTCTCATGACATTTTTGCTCAACTTCAAATTTGACATACAATCCCAAGCCTGTAACCAAGGTAATGAATAGTTAATAAAATCAATAACAACAAAACCTGGCTGTCAGCCACACTTACTGTCTGGGACCAAAGAAGAGGAGGTGCTATGGTATATCTGTGGCTGGCAGATTAAACATTTACAGTCTTGAGCTGTGTCAATGAAACAGAAGCCCTTTCCAAGGCTCAGGGCCGCAGTCTCAAATGAAGCTATATGGAAAAAAAGCAGCCCAGCAAGTTGCTAGATTTGGTTTCAAGTGGGGTGGTGTAAACAAAATAACTTCATTTGTACTAAAAGACAGTGAATGTTATGAGCAGAACAGAGATCCAGCCCTCTGAGGTGCAAGATCAACTGAGCAAAATGTCTTTGCCCAAACAGATTTCCACCAGGAGAAGTGGATCTATGTTCACAAGGGAAGCACAAAAGAGGTGAGTACCTTCATAGGTTCTTTGTTCTCTTTTCTACTGGTTTTTACAAGCAGTGGAAGATCCTGTGCTGATATAAATCAGCAGAAGCTCTTAAGAGATAAGTGGAAGATCTGGCTTGTGGTTGGAATTTCAGTAATGATTTTAAGCCCCTATCAGGGGATCCAGGGCTTGCTGTACAATGCTTTGTACATGTGTTTAAAATATGACTTGTTTGCTTCCCTCAGTTAAAAAAACCAGCCATTTGCAGGCCAAGCCATAATACTGTTCTTGGCTTTCACCCAGTACAGTCCTAACATGGAATATCATTGGAATTCACCACAGTGGCTCGCTTGCACTCATGGAGAGAAGTGGCTGTAGGAGACTGCTCTGAACTCACACCATATATCGAACCCCAGGAATGTGTGGCTCATGCTCACCCGTAAATTCATGGGTCATGAACAGAACTTGGGTCACTCTTGGGAAACTACCATAGTCTCCCTTGGGCCTTGCCCACTTTTGACGTCAGTGAGTGCGGCTCAGTGGGAGACAGGCCTGCCTCCTCTGGCTGTGAACGGCTCCCATGTTTGTGCAACTCAATTTGAGGTGCCCTGGGTTGTGTCTACCTGGTGCTGTCTGGACTCAGGGCTGCCAAAACATGACCCAGGCTGTTTTTCCTTCACAGCGCCATGGTTATTGCACCCTGGGAGAAGCCTTCAACCGGCTTGACTTCTCCAGTGCTATCCTGGACTCCAGGAGATTCAACTATGTCGTGAGGGTGAGTGAAAGGCCAGGGTTTCTTTCACTGTGAGGGTGCTGGAGGCTCTGAACTGAACACTGGTTGGATGATGGGAAGCACTGGCAAAGAAGAGATGTCTGAACGTGCAAGTGCATGTGTTGGGCTTTGCTGCATGAAATAATTCATGGAAGTTGAGTGGATAGGTACCTAAAACCTTGTCTTTGATCTATTAAAATGCAGGGGGGGAGAGAGTGGTGATAACATAGATGAGCTGTCTAGCATTTCTACTACTTTTCAATTGTTTAATTCATTTCTAAAACCCAGAAAGCTTGGCTGTCTAATTCCTGATTTTTCAGTTCAGCTTCTAAATATGATTCTGTAGCCCCAGAAGGTCATGGGCTGTCTGCAGAGGCCATAGAGCAGTGGAGACCTCTTTGCACAGGAAGCTCCAGTGAGGGCTGTGGGGTTTTGTTGCTGTTACGGTGACACAGGAGAGACTCAAGGGAGCTGAGCATTTTGGGAACGAGGGAATGGGCTGAACCTCTTGGAGGCACTGATCTGAACTTCTCTGTTAAGGATCATGGTTGCTCTTAATCCTGTGTGACTGTCAGTGGTTTCAGTGGGTGAAGCATTCGGTTAGTCCTGACACCATCAGTTGGTAAGAAGGAGTCATCAGCCTCAGATTCCCCATGCTCTGGCTTTGCATAACAGGTCAGGGCTTCTGTTTTGACCTGGGGTGGCCTAGGAGGAGGTCATGGTTGGGGGAGCTACTGTCCCAAGGGCTGTGGGTGCTTGTATGTTTATCTGCATGTGATCTGCAAATTGATCTTGAGTTTCAGAATGCTTAGCAAGATTTGGAATTCAATAAGCTTTAAAAAAATCTGCTATTAACTTGAGGCTGTTTATAAACAGCTCCTTTTCACATCTCATGAGCAGCTGATCACTGGTGAGGCAACAGCTGTTCAGGTTTTAGGTTCTGGAGCAGGCAGTGCTGGTATTGCTTTCCCTTTGAGTCAAATGTCATGAAAAGTGTCTGAGGAAGAAGTGATCTGAGCAGGTTCACCTTGGTTTGTTCACCTGTTGTCTAGGTGACAAGTCACCTGTGGAAACTTCAGTCACCCTGGGAAGGGTACAGGCACTGGGGGTGATGACCCACCTGCCGTGCAGGAAGGACAGTCATTAGATGTTCCAGTGCAGGGGTGGTGGGAGTGAGTGGGGATGCTGGGGGAGGTAACACATGATCCAAGTCCATGTGAACTCAGTCCATGTGATCAGCTCTGCTAGTCTGGGGACAACTTGTTTTCCTGCACCCTGTGCAGAGGTGATCAACAGTGCTGAGGTACTCGGTGTTTCCTCATACTGGATATACACATATACACGCACAGTTGTGCCATCTTCAGGGGGATTATTGTGGAAGAAACAATCAGGCCAGAGCCACAACCATTTAGTCAAATATGAAGAAGGAACATAAAATAAAACTTGGTTTTGGTGCTGCAGGTATCTCTTTGGCAGACTTTGTCTTGTGGTAGTGAAGAACTCCAAAGACTCTGCTAAGCCTGGCCTCGGATCATGCTGTGCCACATGATTGGCTTCTGCTGCTCAGCCCAGTGTGATGGGTATCTCATATGGGACTGCAGTGGTTGAGCAGAAATCCCATTTTTTTTTTGAAGAAAAAAATCAAATTTCAGTGAAGTCGGTGTGGTTTGGTGTGGGAGCTCAGGCTGACCTTCCCCCTTGACCTCATGAGGATTTCATACACAGCAGATCTGGGATGCTTTTATCCAAAATAAGTGTTCTGTTAAGGAAATTGACATGTGTCCTTGTTTCTACAGATCACCTCTCTTCTGAGCTTTTAAGAGTAGCTTTCCCCCCGCCTCCTGCCTCTCCCCACCAGTCCCCCCCTCTCCCCCCCCCGTAGTTTTACAGATACAGCACTACTGAGAAGTATGAAGCTTTCTAATTGAGGCTGACTTGTGGTTTGGCAGTTTAAAGAACATATTAAACCTGGTACCATGGATCAAATATAAAACTGACTTCTTAAAATGAAAGGCTTGTATCAGCCAAGTCTCCGATGGATAGTAGCTCATACAACGCCTTATATGCCGCATTTACTCATGAAAAGCTCTGCCTAGATGTGGATCATGTTTATGGTCCTCTGCAAGTCACAGGCCTCCTAGATATCACAGACAACCGGTCTGTCACATGGAAAATGCCCTGAACATTGGCAGGCAAAACATTTTTCCCTTCCCTCCCTCTCCTTGTTCTCTCTAGTTCAACCCGTTGCTCGGGTATCTGATTAATGTCACACTACTTAATTCATCAAGCAAATGCTTTTCAAGGAGGGAAGTTTAGAATTGGAGGCTTGGAAAGAATATTAGGATGTCTGTAGGGGAAGAAAGGAGAGAAACAGCTGCAGGCTTCAGGTTCTGTTGGCTACACCCAAGTTTGCCCTGTAGAGAAATTTAGCTGCATCACTTGCTGAGAGCAAAATGGGCTTTCAGGCTTAACATCAACTTGCCTTCCTTTCTGAATTTCTCTGAACTTAAGTGCCAAGGTGTCTTCAGTGCCGACTTCCTTGTCACAGAAGTGTCTGCTTCAGATACAATCAAACTAAGTGCTTGGAGTTTCTGATAGTGCACTGATAAAAGGGGCATCTCCTTCGAATGAGGTGGAGGTGTGAGCTGCAAGAAGCTTAGTAGGTATTTTTCATGGGCAAATACCATCAGCTAGAGGCAGTGGCAGTGAGTTCACGTAACTGAAGCGAAAGAAACTTTCCTCCAACATTAATCTTGTCTTAATTGTCTGCTGATATAGTGCTGGAAGTGCCACATATTTTTGCCATAAATTGGTCCTTGATCTTTCAAAACTAGTGCATCCGTCTACATGTTACAGGATAATCAGTGTTCCCTTTTCAGGGCTAGAAAGGAAGTGTGTGGTTGACCCAGAGGACCAAACTCTTGTTGGTCTTTGAAGCAGCCCTGGTTTCTCTGGTCTTAAGGATTTAATGAAAAGACTGGAAGCATTCTGTAAGCATAATTAATGGGAGCAGAGTCAAATTGCCTGTAGCCCAGAAGTTGTTGGTTCTCCTTCAGGAACACTCTGTTCAGATGGCAGGTTTTGCAGGCTGTTTCATTCAGAAAGATTTCTCATGTGGTGGTTGTGTAGTCTCAAGGGAAGGTGCTGTTTCTGATCATAAAAGCTTAGGTCAGGTTAGGCTGCATGGGCACAGCTCTTCTGGAATAACATGATCTAGGTTGTCTGCAGCCTTCTAAAGTAGTCTCTTAAGTTTGTTAAGTTTTAATAGCTGTTAGCTCTAGGAGTCCTGGATTTATGCTGTCCTGAAAGAATATCAACTGGATGCTAGCTCATGGAGATCTGTCAGCACCTGCACTGTAAATCGTTATAACTCGCCTTGCTCTTGCTCTACCTCTCAGCTGATGGTCAATGTGACATTTCAGCCACAGAAAGTGAAGGGCTGGGAGAGTAAGGTGGGGCTGGAGGAGGAATTTTTCACTGTGATACTTTTCTCTAAGCAGTCTAGATGTGAGGAGCCACATCCCCAATCTCTGGGACCTTATGGATCCCCACAGGGTGCAGTCCAGCTTCCCTATAGCTGGCTTGGGGTATTCAGGGGGGGATTTACACTTCAGTAGTTTGAGATTCGTAGTTTCGTGATTTTAATCACTACGGAACATTTCCCTTTTTGAGTCAAGGTTACACTCTGCGCAGTGTAGCAGGACTGCTGAGAATTTTTTGGCTCTATGTGCTATAAACCTCTAGCAGTGGTTATTTGGGGTGTGGATTGCCTGCACACCCCTGTGTTGAACCCAGACAGTGGCCAAAGTGCCATCTGGCTGTAGCAGATCTAAGCAGTGCTGCACACACTAGTCGTGGGTGCACAGCAGTGTGTTTTCATGGCCCTGAAATGGGGGCCCTTGTTCCCTGCCACATGGCACTGTTCTGTTTGCTGTTTTCTTCCTCTGCTTATAGGAGGAGGACAACCTGCTCTGTTCCTGAAGCTGAAAGGCTGTTTGCACAGGCTGCTCCAGACCAACTGCTGGTGGGGTTTGAGCAGGAGCCTCATCACACTCATGGGGAAGTGAGCAGGTTATTGCCCTGCTGTGGAGGATGCAGCCTCCTGCCCACTCTTCAGGGGCTCTGTGATAGCCCACTGCATCTCTTGCCTTTTCTCTGTAGTTCTGGTACACCTCTGATAGCAAACAAAATAGGGGCAAGGTGTAGGAAAATTTTTTTTTTTTATTCTTTTAAAGGAAACTACCAAGTTATCTTTTCTCAACTTCTAAGTAGTTAAAAGAATGAATTGGAATTTAATGCCCTGTTTTCCAGAGGTGTTGCAAACTTCCCAGCTCCAGTTAAAATCAGTTGGAATGCAATTACTTGGTGTTTTTGAAAAGCAGACCTTTTAAAATTGCTCTTAACCTTTCCCTGCGCACTCTCTCCTACCATCTGTCCCTCTCAGTTGAGCGTGGACTGGACTTAATGCAGCTGCATCATAGCACATGCTTGCAGCTTTCCAGCCTTTTTACCCTACTCAGCATTAATCTGAATTCATCAGTCTGCTTTTAGTCTGTATTATGCAAGTGGCAACACTGATTTACTTTTTTTAAAATGCTGTAGACCCCAATTTGGCAGTCCATTAACTGAGACTGTACTCAGGCCTGTGCCAATGCTAACAGACCCCCAATGCACAGATGGACTGTATTGCTTACCTGTTTTTTGTGTATGAGTACAGAAGAATAAAGACTGTCTTTTGCTTTGGAGGGCTAGCTAGTCGCTTCAGCCAGCGGTCCCTGGGGAGTGGAGTAGTCCTGGAAGTATTCACAACATAGTTTTCATATGGAATTTCATCCTGTGTTTATTGCTGCAGGAGAAGGGAGGTAACACACGATATCTGAGCTGGTTCACTGAACATAAATTGAACCTTGATAAACACAGACAAGGCAAATTTGAATCTGTTCCTTTGGCTAAATTAATTTTTTTACCAATTTAGCTCTTCAAGGAACTGAGATTTTTATCCTCATTCTTCTAGAGGAACGGCCCTGGCGTCTAACCCTTGTGGTGTTACATTACATGCTGCTTATCATTGCATGCATTTTGGTGTTTTTAGTAGTGGGCACAGTATTGCTAACACCCAGCCTGGAGGAAGCTGTCTCCATGCCAGTTCCAGAACGGTGCAGTCTGGAGACAGCAGTTGTTTGTGCACAGAGGGGCTGATCTGGGTGCATGTGTGACTAATGTACAGATGGAGTCTGGCAAATTGATCACTATAATCAAAGGTCTGAAGGCTAAACAGTTTAGTGTAAGCAGAGTATTACAGACTATTATGGGACACTGGTTGGTTTTTTTCCACTTATTTCTCTAGTATTTCAAAGAATGAAGAAAAGACTTTTTATAAACTTTTCAAACATCTTGGAAGCTGCCTTGTTTTTAAGAGTATTTAGTTGTTATGGTTTCATTTAGCTGATATAGCAAGAAGATCCACTGATGCCTGTGTACCAGATATTACCCAATTCTCCTCCATCTCTTGTTTCCTCCAAACAAGCCAAGAAAACAAGCAGCCTGCCCTTCACAGGAGTTAGAACAGGTCTTTTTTCATCTTGGGATTTTTTTTTTTCTGGTCATGTGAGGGGCAAGATATTAATAGAATGTAAACTCAAAGCCATCTGATGATGGTGTTGGCCTGGATATTAAACAGAAGAAGAGATCGGTCACTCTAGGCGACTCCACTGCTCCTAAGTGGCAGTCACATGCCAGTGCCCCAGATGAGCAGAGCAAGCGAGTGGCTGCAGTGATAACTCTCCCTGAGCTCTCCCTGAGCTCTCCCCGCTTCATGGCAAGCTGCCGGTGACTTTTTGGATACGTTCCTGTCATTCTTACAGCAGGGCAAACAGTTCAGCTCATGACTTATCAAGTCTTGTCAAAAGCCATCTTAGTTACTTGACACAAGTAGTTGCACCTTCTCTGGACTCCCTGTGGTGCCAGCAATGGGACACTGGAGCTGCGGATGATAAAGGATTAATAAGCCAGTCATGCGGTAACGTGTTGATTGATTTGTAGCATAAAAGGTTTTTCCTTTCCTTTCTAAATTAAAACAGAAGGCTATGTACATCCAAAACAAATGGACTGACACGTGGACGGTCTGTGCATTTATATAATGCTGGGGGAAGGGAGGAGGGCTTGTAAGATCACAGGCCACATGTTCTGCAGGGCATGATCCATAGGAAACTTCCACAGCTGTTCTTGAGAGGGCATCCTTTCCCATGGGAATGCTTCCTTTAGCAGCCCAAATTCAGTGTTCAGCTTGTACATGAGTCAGGAGGTTAGTGACGGGAAGCAAATCCTAATCGAAAGTAAAAGCGAGATTTCCATTAGAGGGGAGGTTAACAAGTAAACAGGACAGACAGGGAAAGGTGGTTGGGTATTGTAGCTGTAATAGCTGAACAGGGGAGGAAATGTTGGGGGAATAGGGGCATGTTGCAGGGAGAGTTTGTTTTTCCTACAGTACTTAACCTTTCTGTCGTGGCGACAGCATTCTGACAAAACCCATGCAACCCTGGAGTTGACGTAAATTGTGGAGTCTGATTCTCATTAATGCTCCATCAATAATATCCCCATCCAAACAGGCATTTGCTCGTGTTCCCTTATGACATTGCTTGTTTGTGCCCCAGTGAGGGATGGTGACGTTGGCTGTTCATTGTTCCCTTGGTGTGAGTAGCAGCTGTCAGTCTGATCACTGCTCTGTGGTTTCTCTGCATCTCTGAACGAAGAAATCAAGTTTCCCACCCCCCCAAGATAATTAAAATACCTTTTCTTTTCCCCCACCTCTCTTGATGTGAGTTTAAATCTTTGACCTCTGTTCTCCTCATGCTTTGTGTTACTTTGCTCTGTTGTTCTGTGTTTATATTCAAGCAGCAAACAAGTCTCTGGACTGTTTTGCTGTGTCATGTGACCAGGAGTCAAGATTAGAAAGGTATCTCTGTGCTCTAAGGCTTGCAACTTCTATTTTTATCCACAGCTGTTGGAGCTGATAGCAAAGTCTCAGCTGACGTCACTGAGTGGCATTGCCCAGAAAAACTACATGAACATTTTGGAAAAAGTGGTGCAGAAAGGTAAGAAACGGAAACAGTGAGGGGGAGTCTGATTTAATCTGATGTACTTTGTGTGAAACCACATCCTTGAGAACAGTCAGGCAGTGCACGATGGGTGAAGAGGGGCACCACTGCTTCTTTCTGTGGTGCAGTTCTGCTTTCTTTTCCCTCGATGAAGGACTTGAGCAGAGTGGAAAGAAATGTCTGTAGGTATCTGAGAGGCGATTCCTCCTTCTCCAGCTTCCCTTGCTGTCACCCCTTCTGCATCCTACTGAGTCCTATTTCTGACTGCAGAAGAGCTGGCTGCTCCTGCCCCCGGCTGGGCATATCTGCAGTCTCTGCTGCTGCCTTGTTGCCAGTTTGCTGTTTCTAGTGCTCCCACTGCTCTGGAGGAAAGGACAGCTTGAGGTCTATCCTCACCTGTTTGAGGGAATGAATTGTGGCTGAGACGTGGCACTTCCCGCATGGAATTTTAGCTCTGTCGGAGGTCTGGGAGTTGAGCACACTCTGTTAGTACATGTGATGAGAAAGGAGGTCCTGAGCTGTCTCCCTGCACATCAGCTGGGGTAGATGGGGAAGAGCACATAGATAACCTTTTGCACAATATTGGAGGGGAAAACTGGCTGGTTGCCAGTGGCTGGAAGTGGGAAGTGCTGCAGAAATGGCAGATCTCATCTGCTTATCCTGGTAGGATCTCTTTCCATCTGCTGTCTAACCTGGCTAACGTTTAAGTGCTTTCCACTGAAACAAAAAGCACAGGCTGGCTCTCTTGGCCTGTGAGGTTAAAGCAAATAACTTGGCTTGCCTGAGAAATGTGGATTCAGGGAAGGATTTTGACAGTTCCCGTTTTTAACCTTTCCTGTTCTTCCAAAGTCCTTGAAGATCAGCAGAACATCAGGCTAATACGGGAATTGCTGCAGACCCTCTACACATCCCTCTGCACGTTAGTTCAACGAGTTGGCAAGTCTGTCCTGGTTGGAAACATCAACATGTGGGTGCACAGGATGGAGAGCATTCTCCACTGGCAGCAGCAACTGAACAACATTCAGATCACCAGGGTAAGCACAAACCCTGAAAGCTAAAAATATTGTGGCTCCTTCATGAAACCTTCTCATGTAGCAGCTCTCGTTTGGGTGACTGCTTCCCACTGTACTCCCAGTGCAAGCACAGAGTTGCCAAAATAACTGAATGCATTCCTAGCATTACTTGAGTCCCTTAATTCAAACTCAATGTACATAACCCAGGATCATGCTTGAGGTTACTGGTCACAGACTGTAGCTTGACTCTGTACTGGCTGTGAAGTCCTGTATGATCAGAGCTGGGCAGGAAACCATCTCCCCCTTTTCAGTCTTCAGAAACAGGGCCTCAGTATGAAGAGTCAACTCAGTCTTTTTCAAATTGAGAAACTGACTTCAAAACTTGTTTATCAGATAGTTGAGGTTTTTAGATTTGTTTAATCTGTAAATTAAATGCAGATTTCTAAATAGGTGCATAATTTCATGCTTCCTGGCTGAAAATATCAATTATTCTTCCAGTAGTCTGGAGCTACCTGTTCCAGCTGGACGAGTCCTGCTTTCACAACATGTGTTTTTTTCAGCAGCATCTGTGGGGATGGGAATTATGTGTTAGATAAATTCCTAATGTGGCTTTGCACGGGAATCAAATTTGAACTCACTCCATTTCACAGAAGGTTTGATCTTGGAATAGACCATCTGGTCCAACCGCCTAGCTCAAGCAGGGACACCAACAACATGTTACCCAGGACTACTTCTAGACTTTTTTTTTCCACCTCAAATGGATACTTGATGAGCACTGAAATGCTAAAGCTTCCCCTCAGTGCTGATACCTGTGTTGGTGTGCCCTTTTGTAGGTTTCTTCTGCAGTGAACTGAACTGTGCCATTCCTGTTTAGGCAGACCAAGGCATAGCCCAAGGGAATATAAAAATTACGTCTTTCCCCAGTGGCTCAAGCAGAAAGGCATTCACAAAGGATTAAACAAAGGGCCTGCTTTCATAATTTTACATGATTGTGTTCTCTGGGAACACCAGGGAACAATCTTCAGTCCTTCAGTTAGAGTAATGCAGGGAACAAGGTGTAGAAGGTGAGCTTTGGGAGGTCCCAGGCAGTTTGAGGAGCTGCAAAAGCAGGAGTGCGTTATCTGATGGTGATTTCTGCCCCACCTCTGCTGTCTCTCCTGGTGTCCCTCTCTTGAGAAGGGCTGCAGCTCCTTTTGCCTTGCAGGGGAACCACTGGCTCGGTGGTGGGGTGGCTCCTGGGGCTGTGAGCTGGGGAGCCATGCAGTGCCTGGACACTGCCGGGGCAATTCCACCCAGGTATCTGCTGCCCTGAGGACATCAGAGGTCAGGTTCTACCTCCTGCTGGTCAGCTCAGTAGTACAATGTGGGGATTTCCCTCCTGGGATTCAAAACACAGACAAGCACCTGAAAGAACTCTGCCTATCCAGACCAAAGTCAAAATATTGCTTGTGAATGAAACAGCCTTTTATACATACTTACTTATATATAGGTTTACAGACACTCGGATGTAGAGCTTGCAGAAAAAGAATTCACACCTCTGAAGATAACTTCAGGTCAAGCTAGAACAAAACCAGCTGAGTTCAGAGAAAGGAAGAAAAAGCTAAGCTTTGTGCAGCCAGTTACTTAGAGTGCACTGAGTGCTTGTGGTGTTTATAGATGGGGAAATGTCTTGCAACACCCAATACCTAAACCATTTTTAAAAAGAAAAACTTGCAAAATATTGTGTGTGCTAGAACTGCTTAAAAAAAAAAAAAATTAAAAAAAAAACACAAAGGACAAACCTTTGTCCAGAAAGTGACAGCATACCTATCTGCTCTGATCTACTCTGTGTTCTTTCTCCAAAAAAAGTAATGTTTGAAAAGTTCTGGAAAGGAATAATGAGAGAAACCAAGTAGCAGATAAGTTTTTGGCCCTGACTCAGAAAACCTGTAAGGATTTGTTTGAGTCACACAGGTTTCTCCAGAAAAAAGGCAGAAGCATGAGCTTTGGGGTTCTTCTGATCCAAGAGTTTCTGAGGTTATTCTTGCCTGTTGTGCCCTAGCAAAGCTTATATGAGAGAGTGCAGGAGAATGCAAAATACAGGCTGGCAAGGGAGATTATTGGGAGGTGGACATCCAAGGATCCAGCGCATTCTTCCCACCCCAAAAAATGGCCCAGGCTGTCATGGGAGGAAGTGTCCTCTGGAGATATTGAAGACAGTTCAGTCCTTCTGGAAGGGTTGTTTCAGGTCTGCCTTGCTGGTGGAGATGGCCAGAACTGACGTCTTGGTTGAAAAGCCGTGGTCGGTGCTGTGTGGTCCAGGCAGGAGGGAGCTGCTGGTGCACGGACATACTTGTTGTTCCTATGGAGTCCCACATGCAGTGGGATGTCTGGAGATGGGACTGTATGATCAAAAGCAGCCTCACTGAGTGTTCCCCTGCTGATGGCAGTCGATGTGCTGCTGGTTTAAAATAGTTAATAGCTCTGCCAAAGGCGAGGTGGGTGCTGTGACTCTGCAACTTAAAATAGCAGCATTTCTGTGCAGGGTAGATGATGATGAACTTGGCACATCTATTTAACATTGTTTCTTTGTTGGGGCCCAATCCTAGAAGCTGCTGTTTGCCTTAATAAGGCTGGAGCTGATTTTGAAGCAGCTGAAGCCTGTGTTGTGGTCCTTGCTGATGCCTTGTTCCTCTGTATGCCTTGGATTTCCCATGAGTGCAGGACCTGTAGATTCATTGTGGTCGATTTTTCCTGGAGCTGTGCCCCATGTGGGGTTTGTAAAACAATCCTGGATCTTGTGTAGACCAAGCAAAGGTGGATGGGAGTGGCTTTTGTCTCTTTAGGCTAGGATGTGCTTTGGTGTGACTGAACAGCGTGGATAAACAGGGCTGCAGCTGATGGGAAGGGGGCAGGTCCCTCAAGTGTTCCCGGAGGAAAAATTAGCCTTGACAGCAGTGATCTGGGAAGCCACACAGGGAAAAATCCTGCTGTGGGTACTCACCAGCCACTGCTGTGGTTACAGCAGGATCCTGTGATGACACAAGCTAAAACACGTCAGAAAATCATGAGATTCCCAGCAATGTGTGTTAACTGGAGCTGCACTTGAGAAGTACTTCCCATCTCCCTCATGGTGGAGAGATCTGGATGATGCCATGATGTCCTGCTGTAGTGAAAGCTGATGGTGGTGCTTCTGGGAGTAGAACTTCATGAGTATGGAGGTGGGGTGGATAAAAAGGGGAGAAAGAGACTTGGACTGCAACTCTGCTTCTGACTACTGTAATACAGATATGTGTCCTGTTCCTTGAAGATCTCAAACTGTTCTGGGGCAGAAGGTCAAATGGTTTTGTATAAAATGCCTTCTTTATTCAGAAGAAGGAACTGCTGCTTTGTTCTTTGTGTGAGGAACAGTGCTTAAAAAGCAGTACCTCTACTGCAAGCTCGTATTTCTTGGTTTTTCATCTTCCTGGGAGCTCAATTTTTGTCTGTCTATTCCAGCCTCCCTTTAAAGGAACCACTTTCACTGACCTGCCGTTGTGTTTACAATTGAACATCATGCAGCGACTGAGTGATGGCAGGGACCTGGTCAGCCTTGGTCAGGTGGCTCCTGACCTGCAAGTCCTCAGTGAAGACCGGCTGCTATGGAAGAAACTCTGCCAGTACCACTTCACAGACAGACAGGTACAAGGAGGGAAGCATCAGGTCCTTGTTGTACCCCACTAGCAACCAAACACACAGGGGTAGGACACTCTTACTTGACTATGGATCTAAGGACTGTGCTGATAATACAAGCTGGCATGAGAATGGCTGTGAAGATTTATGTAGAGGATTTTACATGCCACAGCAATGATTCCTGAAATAGGAGCTTGAGGAATTAATCATACAAGAACTTCAACCCTAATCCAGGTGGGAACAACTGCAAGTCATGCAGTGGCTCCTCGCCCCACGTGTGCAGGGAAAACGTGCAGGCAAGCTCCAGCAATCACCCTGATGTCCCAGGAACCTCACAGAGGGTGGGTGAGATCCATGAGCTCTCTTGCCCTTTAGAGCAAGAAATCCCCTCTGAGCTGTTTTGTGAGTGACAGAACGGTATGTGGAAAACAGTCCTGCTGCTACCCACGTACCTGTGTAAACATCTCTGGCCCTTTGCAGGCTGGTTATCATGTGGGTTTGTCTAAACTTAAAAACAAACAAAAGTCCCTCTCTGTTTATGAGTGAATGTCTGGGGTGTTTATAGGAGACCTCTGCACTTGAGGGGCCATGTGCCAGATTTCTTTACTGACGTGGTTTTATTTACTCACTCTGGATCTGACTTTGACTTTGGGGAAGTTATTCCTATTAACAAGCAAATTCAAATCCAACCTCTGCAACTAATGAACCCTAAAAGAAAGATAGGTGTCTCCCAAGCAAATGTAATAAATCACTGACTCATAGAGTCAATGAAAAAGCAAAATACTTCAACTTCTAAAACTGCTAAATACAATTGTAGTTGCTGTCCTGCCAGCTAGAAACAGTGGCCAGAGTAGTATGAAATAGCTCCCAGGGTTTCAGGCTTCCTACAGTAGAGTTCATGAAATGGGAACAGACCCTCATAATGGTATTGGGTGAGGCTGTTCCCATCAGGAAGGTGCTTAGAGCTGGATATTCAAAGTAAGAGCTTTCTTGGTGTTGCCAGCAGTTCAGGGAACTGTTATGGGAGTGGCAAGGATGACATGTGAGGGAAGGGGGAAATGCCATCAACTGGAAAGAACAAATAATTTTTTTTTTTGATCTGCTACAATTATGATTATCTTTTCTTTTAAGATTCGCAAACGGCTGATCTTGTCTGACAAAGGACAGCTGGATTGGAAAAAGATGTACTTCAAGCTTATAAGGTGCTACCCACGGAAGGAGCAGTATGGTGACACACTGCAGCTGTGCAGGCACTGCCACATCCTCTCCTGGAAGGTAAGAGGTGCTGGTGGGACAGACTCAACTGGGACAGGAGCCACGAGGCACCCAGTGCTTCCTCTGATTGCAGCTGGTTTAGGGTCCTGCAGTTCCTTTGCCTGCATAGCCTAGTGAATTCTTACATCTTAGTCCTCCCTCAGCTATTCAGACCGTTTCTCTGTTGTGCTTCACAGGGGTCCCATCTCTGTCTCAAACAAGAGTAGTGCCCATTGGGGCTGGAGGGGAGGAAGATGGGCATGCTGTGGGGCTGCCTGCAAGAAATCATTTTGGCACTGCCAGCAGCTTTCTCCACCCATGGGAGGTGGAGGTCTTGGCAACAGGATCAGCTGGAGTAAAAGCTGATGGGCTACAAAATGGCCCAGGACAAAACTGCTGGCCACTGTGGCCACATCCAAGGCATGTCTCTGGAGCTAAACTCCTGTAGCTGATGGCAGGCTCTAGCTTCTCTTCCCTTAGAAGAGAGGAAAAGAATGAATTGGATCTTGGCTTGTTTCTTTTTTTTTTTTCCATGACTTGCGAGTAGCCCCTAAAATATGAAGCCCAGTTCTGAGTCTATTATTCTGGGCTCTGCTCTGTTTGCACATGGGATGTCTGGCAGAGGGGCAGTGCTAAGCTGGCTGATCCTTTGGCACCCTTTCTGCAGTCTCTCTAAATGGAATTGTTTTCTCCTTTCCCAGGGTACTGATCACCCCTGCACAGCCAACAACCCAGAGACTTGCTCCACCTCTCTTTCACCACAGGAGTTTATCAACTTGTTCAGGTTCTGAACTTGGGTCACCGCAGCTTATGTGATTCTTACAGGACACTTTATGCCGCTGAGCTTGGACACTCCATTTGTAAATAGTGTAAATATTCGTGTTTGTTGGAAGCTCCTGAGTCAAGGAACAAGAAGATCTTGGAGGTGAAAGGTGAAATTGCTCACTGACATGCAGCACTTAAAGAATACAGACTTCCACAGGACTGGTGTATAAATACAGCGTGTTGTACAGAGTCCCTTTTTTATCATCAGAGTACAATATACAGGGCAAAAAACTTCTTTTTTTTTTGTTTTTTTAGAAGTTAAAAATGAATTTGCCCCACAACCATTTGAGAACTCTTTTGGTTTGTTTCTAATAGAAAGAAAGCAATACTAGGCTAGGACTGTTGAACTGTTCCTCCATCTGGTTTTATTTAGCATACATATTTATAAATATGACGTTTTAAAAATATTTATGAAAATATCCCTGTGACAAGTTTAATAATACTTTTATGCTTTTAAAAGGACACATTCTGAAATACTTAGGATAGAACTCTAGCCTACTTGCAAGACAGAATCGCAACATACCACGTTCTACCTCTAACAGATTGAGTATTTTCAAACAAAAATCCAGTGTACAATGTGAACTTTTGTATTTTGTACAATGATTTAAAGGGAAATGCTTGTGATAGTAAGCATCTTTTCTTGTATTAGTGCTTACCTCTTTACATTAGTTTTCTCGCTCTACTCAGTGCTTGAATGCCTAGATGATAGGCACCGTATAAATACCTAAGACTTTACTCCATCCTCTTTTAATTTGTTGGCTTTTTGAAAGACCAAGCAAAAGGGAAAGGAGAAGCCACAAGGATGACTATTATCTATAAGGGAGGAAGTTCTATAATAGGGGAAACAAAGGACTGGATTTAATCTCATAAGGTAAATTTGTATCAGCTCCACTGGGTTGATTGCACTGGTTGAAATCCCAAGTAAGGTTAGAATCTGGTTTTTTTAAGCCCATGTTTTCCAACATAAACACTGCTCTGTATTCCCACTGCTGTCAAGTGAATTCAGTCATCCTGGAGCTGGTAAAATATAGGGAGAACTGGGCCATTGAATCTTGTGAAATGATGCGGTTTTTAGTCACTGGAAGACTGGCAACAAAATGTTTAGTTTCAGACTGTTGGAGTTTAGGGAGTGATTATTTAGTAGCCAGGACTGGGTTCAGCAAGGGATTTCTGACACAGCACTTGACACATCTTTGGTTACTTCTCCACGCCGGTGGCAAGGACCCAAAGATCCTAATACCTTCTGCTTCCAGTGCTAAGCTGCTTTATGGGATCTTCTAACCCTAAACTAGAGCTAAATTTTCAGTCCTGCAGAGTAAGGGGCTTCACTTTTCCCCACGGTGGAGCTTGAAGAATCCAGCTCATACAGAGCCATTTGAAAACCTGCAGTGGAAAGGTTTTGCTGTTTGCCAGTAGATTTCCTGTATAGCACTTTCTCTGTGCATGATGTAAGCAGGATACCTCGGAAGGGTAAATACTTAGTGGGTTGTGTGTGACTATGTACGAAGAATTGTGAGGAAGAGGAGTACTCAGGACAATTCAGGAAGAACTACTTGAGTTAATTATTGTTAAATATTCTGTTCCTTTTTTTACATTTTTATAACTGACTTTCAACACTTTTCTGCAGCTGTTTGTATTTAAAAATAATAGTATTTGCATTTTTGCAAACTAAATCACTTTGCATACTCTTGGAAGAGACACGGAAAGGGAAAAAAGCTGCCTCTAGATGGAGCAGTGGGGAACAGGGGAGAAAAACAAGGAAAATGCTGACAAGAACTTCCCTTCTCCTGCCACCTAACAGCAAATCCAAGTTTTTGCTCTTTCAGAGAGCTCTGTGAGTCTGTGCCACCCTTAGCCATGGCCCAGAGCTCATCAGCCTCCAGAGCTGAGGAGAAAATGTGCAGGATAGGGAGCTTTATCTTGATGTTGATGCCCCTCCATCAGTTTGACTGCTGGTGGAAAGCATAAGCCTGTGATCATAATCATGTCAACTGAAAGTGATTTAAAAGCTGTTACCTTGGAAAAATAAACTTGTGCTTGTCTTGGGGGATGTTCGTGAGTGAAGGAGGCCAGTTTTTGTTTTCATTCCCGCATTGATGGTGGGTAGACAAGGCTGAAATCTGGCTTGCTGAGCGAGGACACTAAGAACAGAAACTTGCAAGTGAAGTGAGTGGAGCATTGTCACTGAATTGAATTTGAAGGGTCCAGTAGCTCCTTTTTCCAGCAGTGAGAGGACCTGTCCCTCTTGACATCTTCTGTTTCCAGCTCTGACTTGTGGTTGGTTTGTTTCACAGTTTTGTCTCTGCCACCCATCATGAGCCAACTTGTTGTGATGGGAAGCAAGAGTATTTTGGTATGAAATGCTGGGGGGTTATGCCCAGTCTGCATCTGTGTTGAGCAGATGACACCCACTGTGTGAGATTGTGACACTGAGTGAATGTTAAGCTCAGGTTTGAATCTGGCCTGCTGCATTCCCTGTACAGCAAGACTGAAAATCCCAGCATTGAGCTGCAATTGAGGAATGTCTCAGGTGGAGCCATTGCCTCTATCAACTCTTCACTTGCCTTGAGCGAAGAGTTTATTCTGTCTTCTGCCCAGAGAGCGTGGATCATGCTGACAATAGATTTACTGTGCAACTGAGGCTCCTATTTATAAAACTTATTTCAATTAGTGTGTTTTTTACTTCTTAGCATTGGAAGGGTCGAAGTGCTGAAGCTGATTTGTTAATACATAGACACGTGTGTTGCTTGTGTGGGGTCTTAAGATATTGCTGTTGGTGTCCAAACCAGCAGAACACCAAGCAACTGCTGTACTGGAGAACAAAACAGGCTAAGCAAAAAGCAATATAATAAGGCTTATTCAGTTACTGCCTCAGTCATTACTGTCCTGCTGCAGCAACTGTCAAAGAAGACCTTGGTCTCTTTGGAGGCTCATTGTTTCTCAAGTGGCTGGTACAGGGAGATGTTGTGGTGAATTCAGTCCTCTTGGTTTGTATTTAGAACAAAATGCTGTTGCATCCAAATACCTTAGTCTAACCATTTATAAACAAAGCAATCAGTATTTTAGCAGTGCAAAGGCATCTGCTTGGCTGAGGATGGCAGAGTAACAAAACTGACAGTGATAACAGGGGCTTCCAGGCAGGATGGTTTTAAGGCTGCTGTGATGCAAAAAGGACCTCTTTATTTTAAGACAATTGTGGCAAAGCTGCTGTTGAAGGGAAAACAGACTTTTGCTTGTATTTTGGAAATAATAGGATGTTCTTTTCAAATGACATTTCACCTTCCAGTCAGTTGATGCATTCCCATTAGACATGCATCAGTTCTTATACTAGGAAAGGAGAGTTTTTTCCTCTCTTTGGGGTTTTCTCTTGCCAGCATATCCAGAAAAATCTCACTGTCTTCAGAGGATGTGTTAAACTAGTACAGCAACATAGAACATGGTGCTGTGAAGAGAAAAAATATAGATCCATGCTAGGGAGTAGGCTTAGGAAGGGAGAGATCTCAGAGATCTGTTTCAGCTTTCTAGAGGAGGGAGTTGTTTGGAGTTTGTTTTGATGTGATAGCCATTTCAAGAGGCACAGTTCCAGCTGTACATACCTTAAGCCATTTATACTAACTGCGGTATGCTAAAGTTTGATCATAAAGAGTGTGTACCTCCTCTTATGTTTTTTTGTTGTTTTGTTTTTTTTTTTTAACTGTGGGAATTTCTAGATCCTTTTATTATGTAAAGTGATTAGGAAAATATGTATTGCTCTGAAGACATTGCTTTGTATGTAAACATTTAATTGCACCCTGCCACTTTCTGTATATGGGAATATATTTTTTATTATTTGCCCCTGGCTTTTGAACTGTTTGTATTCCCATTTCTGTTTGACTTCAATTTTTCTTGTGAATCTGTCACCTTCTAGAACATATGCAGGTACTAAACCAGCTTCTCCTGCCTGGAAAATTCCTTGGCCTTCAGTAGCTCAAATTTCATTTAGAGCAGGAACGTTTCAAATTCTGTTGTGTAGCAAACAAATCAGGTGTGCTGTTTCACACTGATCTCCTGGTCGGTACAGCAAACCAGCGTTGTCCTCCTTTAGTTTTTACAAACCTGTTGCACGGCTACCCTGTAGATCAGCACCTTGCCAAAAAGACATACCTTTAAATTAAAATGCCTCTCTTTCTAGCTGGCCTGTTTGCACAAGCATAGGCCCTGTGGAGCTGATGGCTCATCAGGTTGTTACAGACTCCCTCGTACAAGGTTTGGGACCCTGGTGTTCTGCTTGTACTGTGTGTCTCAGCCCCCTGGTTATAGTGATGCTGGTTAAAGGCTCTGAAGCTGTGATCAGCCATCCACACAGCTGTCAGCACGTGGCTGCTGGGCTCCCTGAGTGTCTTTACCAGCACCTAATTTCTATTCTGTGTCTTCCTCCAGTGATTTCACTGGTGGCAAATCGGCTTTGCAGGATCTGGCCCTAGGGAGAGCAAATCCATTTTGTCCTTGACACATGCAGTCTCTATTACATAAATACCTGGAACACCAGAGAAATTCCCCCTTTATTGACCAAGTGTTACTGCTTCTCCTCCTGGGAGGGCAACTGAGGGTAGAACTTGCATTTTTTTAGCCATCATGTGCTGCACAGAATGCTAACAGCTCTGCTATCAAGAGAGCATTTTAATTTGAAATAGCAAAGACGCTCATCTTTAGGAACTAATCTACAGTAATTATAAATATGTACTTATATATGGAAGAGAGCGTGTGTTCTGTTTTGTTTTTCCTTAAAGTTGTAACTAGAGATGATATGAAGTGAAAGGCATCCCTTATATAAGACTTCTGTTTAATATTATTGTGTGGTTAAAATCCTTCCATTATGAATTTGCACACTTTTTTTCCTCTTCCCTTGCATGTTCAACTCTGATTTTTACAGCTGTTCTGTGCAGACAGTAATGTATTTTTGTAAAACATTTTTGACACTGAATTGCAATAAATGTTCAAACAATGTGAACCACAGAATTTGTTGTGTCATTGCTTCCAAGTTGGTGACCTTATCAGCCTTGAGCTTTTGGTGACTGTAAGCAAAGACTCTTCTGCGGGAACATCCAGAACTTGGCTTGTTGTTGCAGTAGAACATCCCAGATAGAGCTGTTGCTTCATCGTGCCTCAAAGGGAAATGAGCCTTCGTGTCTAACAAAAACTGTGCTCACATGGAGCTTGTCCTCGTGAATCTGTGCTCACCCAAAGCACAGGAGTGATTGCTGCCCCCGAAGAGATTGCCAGTGCTCACAATGATCTGAGACCTTCAGCTCCAGCTTCTTGGCTTAAGAAATATTTTTTTCTGGATGTGTTATCCAGTAACGTTGATTTTTATTACTTTAATGTTTCTCTGGGTTTTTTTCAGGTACAATTGCATCTCATTAGTGTCAGGACTGCAAGCAGTCTGACCCAGGCTCCTGCTCAGAAGGAATGTGAGTAGGAGCCCCCTGAAGCAACACTCAGTAAATTGTGGAAAAGCAGTTGAAAAGGCAAATGACACATGTCTCTGTTTGAAACAGGAGAAGTTATGATGGTAGAACAGGATTACTTGCCTTGTGAAAGCTATGCCAGCTCTGAAAATAAGTATGAAATGCAGATGTTTTGTTTTCAGTCTCATTTGCACTGTCAAGTAAGGTATGCTTGAGTGGTTCCCTAAGTCTTTCTGTAGTTATGCTGTGACTCAGGTCTGCAGTTAGAGGGTTGCACTCCCCAGACACAAGTCTCTGGGAACATGGGATGGCACAGTTGGCAAGAGCCTTTTAAACAAGGGGATGAGAAAGCTGTTGTTAAGACACACTTCTCACTTGAACTTTCTTGAAAATACTGAATTCTACTTATTTTAATAGACTAAATGTACAAAGACTAAATCCTTTAAGGGGAATATGGGATCTTAGGAATAGGTTGGATTGCTGAGGTCTGGCTATAATTTTTCCCATTTTCATGCTAGTGCTGCTAACACCTCCATCCTTTTAAGAGTACTCAGGGATAGATGGAGAGGCAGCCTGAAGCATGGATTAGGTCATGCCCTGCTTAGCGATAACAAGTCACCCTGTATAATTCCTTGGAGTGCCTTCACTTTCTGGCTTAGAGCCTAACAAAGCAGTACAGTTTGGGCAAAATGCATTTTGAAAACTACACAATGAATATTATAATTTTGACTTTGCTTTGCCTCACCTTTCCCTAATCCTCATTTCTGCTTTTCTGCTTTATGAGGTGGGTGGAGTGAACCCCAGTGAACTACGTAGGGGGTTGATTTATTTTTGACAAAACCGGAGCTGCTTCTGTGATCCAAATTGCAGACATTGGAGAGAGCTGTTTTCTAAAAGGCTCTATAAATAACTCATGTGGGTTCAAAGGCCTTCCCTAAGCTGGAAGGACACCAGTTCACCCCTCACCTTTCTTGATGTGTAGTATACTACACTTTCTAGTTGAAAACAAATTAATGTCTTTTTTAATACGTTTTCCTTGGACAGTTTCAGTCCTGGCCAGAGCAGGCCTTGAATGCAGAAGGCAGCACCCACAGGTTTGTGACTGAGGTGGCAGGTCCATCCCAGCCTCCCCCAGAATTGCTGCTGCTTCCATGTGACAGCTGGAAGTGGGTGGCGGGACAGGAAAGACACCCACTCCCAGCTTCAGGGGATAAATAAACAAACCACCCCACAGGGTGTGCGTTCATAGACGGACAAACGCACTCAGCACAGGAAATGTGAGTTCCTCCTCGTCGCAGCACACCAGGAATTTGTACTTATTTTAACAGGGCTTTTGAGGATTGGGTTAAGCTAATTCTTACCAGTGTTTATTTTTGTTCTAAACGTACATACAAAATTATGTCTCTGTGGGTAATCTCTGATGTGAACGGTGTGTGTGTGATAAACTGTCAGTCGAGGAGCTGCCTCGCTCCCTGTCTGTGCCTGCACCAGGCCAGGGTGGGCTACAGTTTTGTTTTCTCCTTGCTTTGCCTGCACAGGCAAAACTCACACTTTTGTGAGGCGTTTAGCTCATGTTCTAAACCAGAAATCTCATTCTCTCCTTCCTCCCACTTGCTGTGGCAGCCCAGCTGGCGAGGAGTGTCAGAGGAGGATACACACCCACAGGGGGCAATTGCCTGGCTTAACCTGGGGCCAGCCTCCAGCCCAACCATGACCCAGCCTAAGCTGCTGGGAGCCCCTTTGGGTCTGGTTGTGACTGTACAAGCATTTAAACGCTGTGCTAGGCTGGGACACAACATGCTGTGGCCTTGCCTTCCCAGCGTGAGGTGCTTCTTGGTACCACAGCCATGGCATTTTCCCTGGGGGTTTGGGGCGCATTTTGTCCGTGGGTTTCCCACCAGAATCTGACCATGGTTTTCAACATGGGTTCTCTCTGAAATGACTTTCTCCCGATCTTTTTATAGCTCTCTCACTGAAGTGGAATTTATTCTTTCTTTTTTTAATATAGCAGGAGGTGTAAATCCAGATAAATATAACTCCTGAGGGGGGATCAACCTGTCCGTGCCGTGGCTCAGCAGCGCCTGTGTTGCTGCTGGTGTATATAAAGCAACCAGGAGCCTTTTTAAACTTCTGAAATTGAAATAATTTTTATTTTCTTACTTATAGAAAATTAAATGGTTCTCATTTAAAAGAGCTGGCTCCTGGTGGTAGGTAGAAACCTACAATCTTACCACGCACTTTTATATTTAAAGCCTCTATTTTTAACCCAATGGTGGGATTCAGGGTTAATGCTCGTTAGATCTGTGTCTAGACAGTTGTGAAAAACAGGAAATGAATTACATTATAGTACGAAAGGAGAATTTAACCTTTTCTCTCCTCGCTAACACATGTGACTGAGGGAAATATGTTACAGCAGAGTATTTTGGAAAGTTTAAGGAAGTAGAAAAATGTGAAGGGGAAAAAAAAAAAAAAAGCTGGGTTTCCACAAGGCCTCGTGGGAATTATTTCACAGAAAATAATGTGCCAGACTCTGCCCTCAGCTACACCCAGGCAGTAATTTGTTTCCTCTGGTCCCTGTGGAAAAATTGCGTTTTATTATTCCCTGCTTATGCTGAGTATTCAGAAGGAGGAAAAGCCAAGTGAGCCAGTTTCACACACATGCACGAGCACGTGAGGCAGCTGCCAGAGAGCAGCCACCACGCAGCACCCGTCCTGGGCACAGGGAGCCAGGCTGAGAGCTTTGTAACACCCCCGGCCATAACAGCACCTTGCACCCCTTCTCCTCAGGCTGCCTAAGGCCTCCAGGCTTTTAAAAAATATTTACAAAGTTGTTTATGCTGCATGTGAATTATAGACTGCAAAAATGCAAAATTCCCTTGCTTGGCCCTTCAGGAAAGTAAGAGCCTGAAGGCTCATTGGCCTCAGGCAGCAGCACAGTGATACTGCTCTGGCTGCTGACCTACAGGGTAAGACCCCAGCTTGAAAGGGCTGTTGCAATGAACCCAGAGTGTGAATTAAGCCTGAACCAGAGTGGACAGCTGGCCTGCTTGTAAAGAGCTGGAAAGCAGGGCCTGGGTGCTCTTTATCCACTTATTCCCCGGCTGGCCTGCTCATAAAGAGCTGGAAAGCAGAGGGCTGGGTGCTCTTTACTCACTTAGCCCCCATTCCCTGCAAAATGGCTGTTGTTTGGACTTAACAGACACCACAATCAAAAGTCCAGCAGGCACCTTCCATACTGCTTCTGAGCTCTTTCCTCAGCCCCCCAGTGTGCCCCCAGTAGTGTATTTTCAAGGCATTCTCAATCCTCCTCAGGCCCCAGGAGGAGGCAAAGGTACCAGGCAAGTGACTGCTCTACTCCAAAATCACTGTCCTCCCCCAGATCCTTCATCTGCCTCTGTGCTCACTTTTCCCCAGGGATGCTGCAGGCCCTTGCACCTGATCCCACTCCCATCCGCCACAGGCAGCCCTTGCCCAGCCAGCTGCTGTCACAGGGGACCCTCTTTTTCTTGTGCCCAACTTCCCTCCCTTGTCTGCAACTCTTTGCTGGAGCCAAATGTTTACGCTCACCACACACGCTGTCAGCTGGCCAGAGACATCAATATCTCCACGGCAGAGCAACAAAGCCTTCCCAAGGATCCGTCGCGCTGCTCAGCCTGGGCTTTCCCACCCCTGCCCTCCTCCTGGGACCCCCACTGGCTTTGGAGGCTGCTGGGAGCATGGAGGAAAGGGATTAGGTCCTCCTGGGGACTGTTTGTTTCCCTAGTCTTATCGTGATTCCTTTTAATTTTGAAGTCGCATGAATATGAAGTGTACAAATCGCTGGGATAATTCTGTAGCTAATTTTATGGCGTCTTTAGCACCATCCAAAATGGAAAAAAACAACAACCTAACCAAGAAATAACCCTCCCCACAATGGTGCAATCTAAATAAAGCTTTTTAAGCAATGCAATATTTGCTTGTGTAGCTGTCAATGTTTCCACTGACAGTTTGTCTTCCTAAAAGGAACCAAGCTTTGGCACAGCTTATATCAGAGGAAAACAACATCTCTAAGTGTTTCCAGGGGTGAATGCAATGAGGGGGATTATGGGAGTTATAATCACTAGAAGTGTTGGCCTAAGAGCCCCATTAGAAAGGAAAGAGCCTCAATTTATCTAGGTTTACTCGCCCGTGCTTGAGCCAGGGAGGGAGGGAGTGCAGCAGGAGCTCTCGCAGCATGTGCACCTGAGTAGGTGCCAGCAGCCCAGGTGTGGGTTCTCCTCAGGAAGAGCCAACTGATAACGGGATATAATGTAATGTTCCCATTGCTAATGCCAGGGTGAGCTTAGCAGGCATGGGAACTGATACCCACTGTCAAACACACTGCGTGGAAGGAGCCGTCCATATCCGCACGCGTGGAAAGGCCCACGGACACACCATGCCGACAGGCACCCCAAAAAGCTGCCTCTCAGAAGTCCTGCTCTGTAGTGTAAGGAAGGTAGACAACTTTCTTGTCAGCAGCAGGTCTGCTTGAAGGAGAGGCTTTAGGACACGGCTCATCCGATGGTAGGG